TTGTCCTCCTTATGGCACTTGCTTTTGAAAGGCCCCTGCTTTTATGCAGAGAACCTTTGAAATCAGTGCTTCACAGTCTTGGAAAGGAACACTAAAACCAGTTCTTATTACTGAAAAATGGGATCAATGAGATTATTTCAATTTGTTTGCAGCAGAATAAGTTTTGAGAGCCTAGACAATTGTAAAGCTTTTTAGAGAGGAGTGGCCTCAGCAAATGCATAAACAAGACTCATGGGAAGCTCAGGGCTGGACTCCAGCAGCCCTGCCTTCCCCTTTGCCAAGGACTGGTGAATCACAGGCAAGAAGGAAACCAGAAAACCCAAAGCAATTATGGAACTGAATTTTATTCTTTGTTCCTCAGAACCATCCCTGTTTTGACAATGATGCATATGAATGATGGCTCTTGCAAAGCCAGGATGTGCCTGTGGTCCAATGTGTGGCTTGAGTGAATTCAAACAAGTGGTTTAGGGTGGGGCTACCAAGGCCAGTTTACCTGTGCAGGTGCCACTCTCAGCACTGAGAGTTTTTGGACTTGTGAGCCCTGTTTTCAGCCAGCACAGAACATCAACACTATGGTTTTACACTTACTTAATCAGTCATGTGGGTGTAATACATTTTGCTAATATTGGACTGTGCTGCTGAGGCCTCAGAAATTGTGTTAGTTCATGCTGTTACATCTTACATCTGAATTTCAGGAGTCAGACATTTCAAAAGTGGAATTAAGCCAAGATGTGTTTTGATACTAGCTTTTACATTAAACGCACTAATATGCAGTGACTATTGAATACTGTTTATATTGATGTGAATCAATTCTAGCTTTTTGACTAAACCCACTTTTTTGTTGTTTAAAAGGACTAAAAATACTGCTGTATTTTGTAGCATTTTGAAATATGTTTGTAATATCTGCGCATCTCTTGTTCTTACATGTTCTCTTTATTTTACTTTTGATGCCATTCAGTTGTTAATGCCAGCTTTTGCAGAGGTGCTGTGCATTTTGGGAGCTGGTGTTCAAGCATACAGCCATTATGAAATCCTCACAGAACTCTTCACATTTAAAGAGGTAATGGACACGTCTTCACAGGATCCATCTATTGTTCTCTATTATGTTTCAGGGTTTAATATAAATAAAGTATAGGCAATGAAGTTGTGTGAGGTCTGGCTGGGATGGAGCTGATGTTCCCCTCAGCCCTCCCAGTGCTGTGCTTTGCACTGGCAGCTCGAAGGGTGCTGACACCACCTCAGTATTTTGGCTACTGCTGAGCAGTGCTCCCACAACACCAAGGCTGTCTCTCCAAAGTTCCTGTCTGTCATACTTTGATAAGCTTTCTGTGACTTTCGCTTAAAAGTATTTATTGGGAATATTTTCATTTGAGAAGGAGCTGTTAGTCTGTTATCACAAAAGAGTTGCTGAAATGTAGCTGGACGCTCATGAATTTAGTGACTTGTGTCATGGACAAGTCACTTAAATGGAAACAAAAGCCCAGCCTTTAGGATACATGTGTCTATGGAAAACTGAGACCAAGTATTCTGCTTCAGCAAGGAGAAATTCTCCAAGCTCATCTGTCTGTTTTCATTTCCTTTTCCCCTTGCAGGTCAGGATATGGAATCGCAGCAAGGAGAAAGCGGAGAAGTTTGCCAGCTCTGTCCATGGTCCCGTGCGGGTTTGCTCCTCTGCCCAGGAGGCTGTTGTTGGGGCTGATGTGATTGTAACAGTCACCATGGCAACAGAACCCATCCTGTCTGGGGCCTGGGTAAAGCCAGGTGCCCACATCAATGGTAGGCTGTGTTCTCACTGTGTAAAGGAGGTGTTTATTATCATTGCTTGGCATCAACATCTGTTGAAAGGCAGTTCTGTGTCCTTGGACTGAATGTTCTTTTTGTTTTGACTTTTCCTCTTTAGTGAGGACCACTCTTGTCCCTAGTGGTGCATCCTCTTTGCCCTCACGTTGTCCCTTGTTCTGACCTTGCTCTCCATTTAAATGACCCACTCAAACATGTTATTTCCTCAGTGGTTGCTGCTCATTGTAATATTTCCCTGGTCATTGTCATCTTTTCTTCCACCATTTTTGTAGCCTCTCTATTTGTTTCTTTTTGGGCTGATCCCATTGATTTCCTTTTTTACCTGAGTTACAAAGATGGAATAACTGAGTTAAGAACTTCATAATTTGTCCTGTAGTTTTGGTGAGGCTTGGGGGGTGCTTTTTGTTGTTGGTGTTGCCCGCCATGTAGTGATGTTGCCACACTATTGTTTGGAGTCTCTGGCCATGCCCCTCTTTGTTTATTTTGATTAATTGTGGGCCTGGTTTAGATGACCTTGTGGCCTTTCCAGATAGCATAGTAATAAGACAAAAGCAGCTTCTCCAAGGGAACCATTTAAAGAAAGGTCCCCCATTCCAGCAGCATCCTACCAATTTTTCAACCTCAATTTAGTCCTTTGTCATTGGCAGTTGTTGTCTGTGTTGTGTCATGGCATGGAAGCCAGAAATACAACCCACATCAATTAAGGTCCAGACTCACTGAAGCGACACAGACACAAAGACTTCTCTCCTTTTTTGCCTTTTTTTTTACCCTTCATTGAGGCATTTGTGTTGTTTGAGGAGGCATTTGGGCAATGTGGAATTTACTTTTCCATAACAGTTGGACACTTTATAAAAAGTATGGTTACAGTATAACTGTGTGATTGTTTTGCTTTCTATTGGGTTTCTTGTTTGTTTTTTGAGCCTTTGAGAAGTGGATAATGATCTTGGTGCTGTGTGTAAGAAGTTAAGCTCCTTGATTTGTTTTC